GATTTGATATTCCTTTAACTTATTATGATAATTTTTGTTACCAAATATTTTTACACTATGTATCTGAAAATAGATAAAGACAATACCGACAAAGAAAAAAACGAAAACGTTTCGACACATTTTTTTTTTTAATAATATAAACGTTCATTTTCCTTGCTTTGCACGTGTCATTTCGTCTGTTACTTATTTAAAATTTTCACATTGTAAATAAGTAACAGACGAAATGACACGTCTTATGTCTTAAAATTAGAAATTAAAGTTAATGATCTAAAACTGCAATAGTATATTACAGTACAAGTGAAAATATTGACCTTTTCACTCACGCGCGTGTCGGATTTGCGCAATACTTATGGGGTGCCTTAAAAATTTTTGTAAATATTATGGGTTCCTGGGGGTCGCGAAAAAAAATCTCAGTGATAAAAAGGGGTCGCGACTGAAAAAAGTTTAAGAAACCCTGTTCTAGAGCAATAATGCAAGAATTTTTTCTTTAATTGCAGAACTTTGTAGTAAACACGATTGCCCATTCTAATACGATAGGTGCTAAGTAACTTAATTATATCATTAAAGCTATGACCAGCCTTTTGGTTGATAGCAGAATGTAATATCATAACCTAACATTTGGTTTACATGAATTTCTGTGCGCACGCAGCTTTCCTATACTTGCTTAAGCTGTACTGAAGAGGATGTGTTGACTATTGATTTCAAGAACACATTTCTGCATTTCTTTTTTTATTCTCCTTTTGCTTTTCTTTAGCTTAATTTTCTCACAGCTATCACAGTCGTGCATCCATGTTGTTCCCCTTTCAAGGACACGTAGCGCTTAATGAAGTTAAGTTTTCAACCACTTGCGATATTTTCTCAAAATTTGAGACTTCTTTTCATTAATTATGGCAGCGGTTCTCAACCTTTTGAATAACGCGAACTCCCACCGTTTACTCCAGCCTTTTTAGCGTGCCTTCGTGGTGTAGTGGTCAGCACACTGAACCGGTATTTCAGAGGTCCGTGGTTCGATTGCCGGCTTATTTTTCATCTTTCCTGCTTCAAAAATAAATAAATAAATAAAATACCTAATGACTCTACAGTGACGCCCGAACTAAAAGGGTGGTGGATGATGATTTCTCCCCATCCAAGATTTGGGAATTGGGTCCCCTAAAAAACTCAGTCGTACTTTAAATGGGGGAGTATATAAGGTATTTATTTCTCCCGCCTTCCTAGCGTGCCTTCGTGGGGTAGAGATCAGCACACTGAACCGGTACTTCAGAGGTCCTTGGTTCGATTCCCGGTGAAGGCTTTGCTTATTTTTCAATCTCTCCTGTTCCAAAAAAATCCTAATGTCTCTGCAATGGCGCCCGAACTAAAAGGGTGTTGGATGATTATTCTCCTCACCCAGTATTTGGCGATTGGGTCCCTTAAAAATCCCAGTCGCCCTTTAAAAGGGGGAGTATATAAGGTGTTTCTCCCTTCTTCTTGGCATACCTTCGTGGTGTGGTGGTCTGCACGCTGGGCGCGTATTCCAGAGGTCCGTGGTTCGATTCCCGCCGAAGGTGTGCTAATTTTTCTCTTGCCTGCTTCCCCCCCCCCAAGAAAAAATCCTAATGTCTCTACAACCTTAGTGGTAAATTTCCAAGCGAATATTCGTTTAAGCATATGTTTTCTTAGTTAATCGAAACTTCTGACATACCACTTATTATTAACACCGAAACTAAACAGATATTTGATATCTATAACGTAGTTGTAAACACCATACATTTAAGAAACGAATGTGTGTCAACGTGCCTATGAAATGCTTCCCGTGTATTTTCTTTTTATAATAATCTTATAATAATAGAATCTTTTTGTTGTCATTTAGGAAAAAGCTAATCGATATTGTAGATATGGCGCTTATCTTTGAGTATATTTTCTTTGAATAATGACAATAAAGAAGTGATGACAGCAGAGAGGGAATCACCTGATATTTAACAATTTCCCATTTTTGCAGCATTACAACTGGCAGAAGATGAAGGAGAAGCTACAGACAAGTACAGATAGAAAGGAGAGAGATTCTAGAATTTTACTACTGGCCTTTCGGATATAGTCCCACTGCAATAACACTCTGAGAAATGAACCAAGGGTCTGGCACCCCTTTCTCTTACCACCAAGTCATTTCAGAGAACTTTCGTCTCGCCAGTATTTTAAGTGCCATGCACTTACAAACATTCATACCTTCTCCGGGATTCGAACCACAGACATTCAGTACTGCAGCCAGCCTCGCTAACAACTAAACGGATCAGGTTCGCACTGGTAAATATAAACATTTATTTATGAAGAAACATCTTCCATGAATGAGATACAGAAACAGGTTTGGAAAAAAAGCAGAATTCAGTTTGATAATTTGCACGTGAATAGAGGATTCATAATTTTCTCCCTTAGAGAATGCTATAACCACATTATTTTATTGGCTGTGAACACTAGCCTGAATGAGCTGGAAGAGCACTAGCCTGTATGAGATCAGCTGGAATTCTGGCTGTTACGATGAATTTTCATATATCTATTAGCAGTCAGAAGGGCTTTCGCAGCTTTATTTTTAATTTAAATAATGCTAATGAAAGCAGTATAGTATGTTACATGGTATGTGTATGGTAATGTTGCGTGCGTACGGGTTCGTTATGAAATAAATGCACAAGTCCGATGAAAAAGGAACAAAAATTTATTATTATCACAACAAAAATGCTTACATTTTCTCAAATTATCATGCAGTATTACAATATCTCACATAGTTATCTTTTACTACTCAAATGTCCAATTAGAACGTAATTCAAAAACAGCTAAAGAACGCTAATCCGCGAAATTCGCTACAATCAACAAGAGCAGTTTTCTAAACAACAACAAACTAAGCAACTACTACTAACTGAGATGTTTCCTCCTTTTATAAGATTTTAAAATCACGCGCTAGAATTTTCCAGTACTTTCTCGAAATCAAAAAGAGATATTTATTTATTTAATGCACGCGCTCTTGTATTTTCAATTTTCCGGCTTAGCTTTCTTTTAATATTCGTCACGCGCTGCACTGCGCGAGAAATAAAACCATTTAATTTATAATTGAACTAACATTAGCTTTTTAAATACCAAATTCGTAACAGTAATATAAATAGGTATGGTTTTATGGTATAGGATGTGGTATGGTATATTAAAGAATTACATGTAACTTTGAGGTTGAATTTCCTTATTAAAAATACGATTAAAATTGAGTTTTTATTTTACATATTTATTATATAATCTTTTTTCAGAAAATTTCTATATTAAAATTTCAGAAAGTTAAAATATAAACAAATAAATAAGCAAAATTAAATTAAATTAAAAAATAAAAAAATTGTAATCTGCAAAAAAAATTTGGTATTTATGCTTTTATATATTGTTGCGTGCGTCGGGTTCGTTACGAAATAATGCACAAAGTCCGATGAAAATGAACAAAATTTATTATTATGCAACAAATATGCTTAAATTTCCTAAAATATTCGTGCAGATTACAATATCTCACAGTAGTTATCTTTTACCTACTCAAACGTTCAAGAGAACTTAATTCAAAACAGCTAAAGAAAGCTAATCGCGATTCGCTACAGTCAACAAGAGCTGTTTTCTAACAAACAACAAACTAATAATACCACGAATTGAGAGTTTTTCCTCCTTTATAAGATTTAAAAAGCGCGCCGAGAATTTTCTAGTACTTCTCGAAATCAAAAGGGATATTTATTAAATGTTAAATGCACGCGCTCTTGTATTTTCAGTTTCCCTGCTTAGCTTTCTTTTAATATTCGGCACGCGCTGCACTGGGCGGGAAATAAAACCATTTAATTGATAATTCAACTAACATTAGTTATTTTAATACCAAATCCGTGACAATATTTTTTAAAATTTTCATTCGGATCTTTGTATAAAGATTTAAGTTTAAACAGTGAAACAGTTTTAAAGTAGACAGTTACGATTATTCAGTTTCAAGTACTAGTTAGTTAGATTGTGTTAGTTTAAGAATTAAGAGCAAAAGAATGAAAGATATGAAACACAAAGCCGTATATTTAAAACTTAAATGTTAAAAGTAGTGAAAAATTGTAAGGGTGGAGATTGTAATGATATCATTCCTCGTTAATTAACGCTAGATGCAGATGCAAACATTTATTTACTAAATATTTAATACACGCATTTATTTAAAAAAGAAAAACGTTAATTATTCAAGACTTAATTATGCATTCATTTCTATGGATGGTCTTGCAAAAGATATTTCCTTAATATGGAAACATTCTTCTTTCGCCAGGACACCAAACCCGCTTCGAAGTTAATAAAAGTCTCAAGTATCCTGCGAGAGATTTCCTTGAAAATGTTTCATAAATAAATAATTGTTATTTTTAATAAGTCTGAGCAATGTGATCACTAACGCATTGTAATTTTCCACAAAGCGAATTTTTATTCACGTATTTTGCCTCGAAACCAAATTAAAGAGTCTTAAAAAACTTCGTGTAATCAAAATGATTTGGCGAGGGAAGAAGAGTTGAGTAATTCTGTTGTAAATGATTCATTTTAAAGCTTGCTAAGTGCTGCCACCTGAAAGAAGAATGTCATAAATATGAAAAATATTCTAGTAAAGTATATTTTTAGTAAAAATAAATTTTTCAAAATTCTTTAGCAAAACTATTTGATAAAATTCGCTTCATTAACTATTAAAACATTAGAAATAATTTGTTTGAAATAATTCAAAAATGCATTGTTATCATTCTTTTAAGTTTTTAGAATAATATCAGGAATTTATTTCGCACAAGCACTAATTTCACTTCCTTAAATTCCGCAGCTTTCAGAGATGATAGCATCATTCTTCAGATCTTTCCGCAATGCATCAAATGCTGGAGAAACGATTTCTCTCGAGGGCTAGTTGGCGAAATGTCGGAGAGTTTTCTGCTTGTATTTTTATGGCAACCCTAATGTCAGCGCAACCTTTCCGTCAGCTTCGTTATCGGCTCATTGCCACGCGAGCATGCATGCGAGTTGTCGAGCTGAAAAAAGAGGCATGTGTATTATGTTGACGGTATGGCAATGGAGCTACGGCAAACAGAAATAGAGTACGGAATTTATTCATTGCAATATGTATTTTCTTTTGCGAAGAAAAGGGTAATTTTTGCAAAGGAACATGAGTTTAGAGATTTATGATTTGCCGAAAATACATGCATATGTTTTGCATTATGATTTAATATTCTGTAACTAAATGTAGCTCAAATGAATTTTTTTAAACATCTTTAATTTAGGCACAGCTTGAAAATTTAACTTATGAACATTATTTTTAATTCACTTCATGAAAGGAAAATAAACTTACAATGAAGTTATACGATATTTGAATATCTACACTTGTGTTTGCTACATGTTCCCTGTGATAATTTATGTATTATGCAGATTTTGGATGCTGTCAAAAAACTGAGCTTTATAAAAGAGTTGCACATTTTTCCAGAATTAAATTCCAGAATTTCATTTGAATAATGAGCTACATTTTTATCATGAAATTTGTTTAAAATTTTATTTTGTTGCTTATTGTTGATACCTTTCACAGCAATATACAGTTGCAGAACAATTGATGTTGCTAATCATTTTCAAAACGAAACAAATACTATTACATCTTTCACAAGTATGATGGAATTGTTGTGCTATTAAAATGTTTCAAGTTCCTACGAAAATTTCCTAGTGCCTTAATCCTTCGTGAAACATATTTTTATAAAAATTAAATATTGCCAAACAATAGACTTTAAATCTATTAAGTAGCATCTTGATATAAATTTTTGCTGACAGAATTTTATTGCAAATTATCTGAAATTCATACGTAATTTTATTGTCGCCTGAAATATATTGGATTCTGTCTACTTCGAATTACGAATTATTAGTAATTTTAGATAAATATAAACAAGTTTTCAAAAAGTGAAAGTAAATTTTGAAGGATATGTTTCTTCAACACAGTTCATTTTACTTTGAGCTGGGATGACAACTTGTAGTGATTTAGTTTTGTGGATGCTTATTATTATAAATTCTAACCAAAGAACATGCTTTTAAATAAACGTATTCGAAGAATTCTCTGGAGGATTTTCCTAGCAATTATTGGATTATTTTTATTAATATGTGTTGCATTCTTGGATGTCCAAATGCAACTTCAAAATTCTGTTGTCCTGGACAGAAAAGATAGATCTTGGAATGTATCTTCTAGACGAAGGATGTTAATGCAAAGGATTGAGCGGTGGCAAAAGAACTCCGGGATGACTGCGAGGAGCGACCAGGATGACGATGCAGCCGAAACACTAACGGAACTGTTCGGCAAGGAAGATAGGTATTGTACAGTTTTTGCTTTTTGGAATTAAATGCTTAAGAATAGTTATAAAAGCTTTCCGCACTTGATAAGAGCTAATATATACTACATTATATGTAATGTCTTTTGTTTGTAGCAAATTCATAAATATTATTGCTATTACTTTAATAAATTAATGCATAAATTGCAGTTACTTTTCATGCAGTCATATCAGAATTAAGGACTAGAATTAACGGCATCTTAATAATGGTTTATGAGGAAAAAAAGCGCAATTATTTCAATATTTTTAAGGTGCTATTCATATGTATAAAGGGAGCCTTTTTACGACTTATAAAACGATAGCCCATATACGTTTCATTATAACCAAAAACGATTATTTTTATTATTTTAATAACTGAATCTGTAAGTTATAGATAGATTTTTCATGCATTCATGTCATGTTAATAACAATTCTAGCCTATAAAAGTTAATTATGGCATTAAAAACAAAGAAAAAACAAATAATTTCAAACGTTCTTCAGACAACCTTTCGCATACACAGAGCTCTTCTGGAACTCAAAAGTCGCTAAGCTTTATAGGTTTGGTTATAATTGGGAATATTGTTGCTAGTATTTTAATAAATGAGCCCATAATTTATGAGTAAATGTTTTCATGTAATCGTAGCAACCTGCTGATAATTATAGTATATAATTTACGATTGTGGAATTAAAAATGTACATATCATTTCAAATGTTCTTAAGATACCCATTTACACGCATGAATTTTTCTATAACTGTAAAGATGATAACCATTATATGCTTTAATATGATAAATAACATTGAAACTCGTGTAAAAATAGAGTTAACTATGCTATATTATAGACACTTTCTACGTATCAAAGACTCTAATAGAAAACATTTTTTTTATACAAAAAAAAAAAAAAAAAAACATATAACGAGAAAAATAACGAGTAATAATTAATAAGTAATGAGTAGTATTCCTGTAATGTGTTTCATCTTGGTAAAACCTTGAATTCTGCTTTTAGCTGACCAAGCAGATAGCAAATATGTTAGAAAATCTTGAATTGCTTTTTTTCAGTTTATTGCAGGAAATTAGCATGTATTTAAAAGTAAAGAAACAAACTTACATGAATTTATTAATTTAATTAAAAAATTTATGATTTTAAATTTAATAATTAAATAATTCATTTATCTAATTTGATAAATAATAATTTTAAAAATTAGTTTATTAAATTGGTTCTGTTGAAAAGTGTAATAAATTTCTTAAAATGGTTCTGTTCAAAAGTGTAATAAATATCTTAAAATGGTTCTCTTCCAAAGTGTAATAAATGTCTTAAAATGGTTCTGTTTAAAAGTGTATCTAATGTTTAATAGTGTTTCAAGTGAATTAAGCCAAACAAAATTTACAAGATCAAGATGTATATTTAAATAGATTAGACATTTATTTCGTAAGGCTCCTAAAATAAATATTTTACTTAGAACAATATTAACTAAACTCTTTTTGTTATTATCAATCTTGGAAATTTGCATATTTAGAGCAAAAACAAGAAGATATTTTTGACAAGGAATTTTCAGTAGCAACTTAAAACAAAAGATTTGCTGCTATTTTAAAACTGACCGATATTTTTTATATTAAAACAAGATAAAAGAGCTTAGAGTAGTATATCGCGTTGTGCTAGCTTAGTTTTCTAAACTAACAACTCAGGTGCTCAATTTCCTGCATTATAATTCCATCACATAACAGAAAATGCTTTTAGCTGCTGTGATTTCTGCTGCTTTAAATATGGAAAAGAATTAGAAACATTCTTGATCTCTAGTGTTTTGTGTATATGCGTATTTTTGAATTTTGTAAAATTAAATTATTACAAAACTATGTTACCTGCTATGTCAGATGAAAAAATTAAATTGTTTCGTAGTTACATAGAATACATTTCTGTTAAAATCAATTCTAATCAAACTTTGCGTTTTTTCACTTTTTTAGAAGAGGGAGGGGGTAGCTTTTTTTTTTATTTCTTACGCCGTCTGATTTTTATATTTAATAAATTTTGATTAGGCTTACAGTAATATAGTCTGCTCTAAAACGTAGTATGTTAACTTTTTTCCTCGAAGAAAGTTGAATATTTTGAATATGTCAAAGATTATTAAAGATGTTATCAAAGATTATTATTAAACTAGCGGGCTACGGCCAAAGCAAAATTCGGAAGTTCTGCTTACACCTGAAAAGAAAGTGTATAAAACCATTTCAGTATGAATGAAATCTGTTCATTCTTTCCAAGGAACAAAAACAATTCGTAAGAAATAACAAAATTTGAAAGGCTTCAGATTTTAAATTACGTCTAAAGGGGCGTTTTTTTAATGTTTTGTGTGTTACCTTTATATATTAAATATCATGTTCTTCGCACTTAAGCCATAAATTTCAGTTCAATAGCAATGTCGCAAGGTAATTTTAAAATGAGCCTATCTTTAGAATTTCCGATACACACTTCCGCGCGGTGGAGATAAAAAGGTCCCCCCCCCCCCCCGTAGAGTGTTGCCAGTGCTCGCTTTTAAATCGTTGAGTTTGTTAATCAAAAATTTCTTAAAGTTTTACAAAATATGAAATCGGTAATAAAACATATTCCAAATTTCAAATTTGGTCTTCCACATGCCCATACCCGTAGAAGGATTACGTCATTCAAAATTCGATGGCTCTATGTACCGTTGTTTTATCACAATGCGAGAAACAGACATACATTTGTGCAGATTTTTCATTATTTCATATCTTCAAATATAATGCAGGATTCTAACATTTAGTGGCAACAGTTTGAAAAGTGATTCGCCGTGCATAGTGAATCGACGCAAAATCGCAAAACGAAAACAATAGTTCTTCAGTGACAAAGCCCATTTGGAGTAATAATTTTGTTGTTGCCAAACCAGGAAACAAAAGTTTTTTACTTAATACGTAATATTTGTATGACGTCATGATTTAAATTTAATGTTATATGATAACTTTTTCTCATTGTCAATTGTCAGTAAACGAATTAATATGGCAGTAACATACCGTGTCAGTTATCCTGACCTGAAGCAAAAGTTGCCAACAGCAGCTATTTATTTAAAATGAACGAACATTAACGAAAGATTTTTCGACATACAGTGACGTCACATGCAATCGCGTGCTTTCTTCATCGTCAGAATATAGAACCTCATATAGTAATAATATATTTTAAGTTTGGCAGTGCTGTTTTGATTTTATATTTTGTGAAACCTACAAACTTTTTATTAAAAGGCCACGATTTGAAAGCGAGCACTGGCAACACTTTTCGAAATAAAATTTCATCGCGCGGGACTGTTGCTAATTGGGAAAATGAGCGCGAAAATTAGCGTTTTCAGAGTTTTTAATTAATATCTCAGCTGATTAAAGTCGTTCGAAGATGATAATAGTCGAAATGGCTTCCCAACGTATTTTTGGAATTGGGAATAATTTATTTGATGTTTGATTATGCTGTTTTTATTTCATTTTTTTGTGAAACTTAGAAATGAGATACATTCTGCAAGAGAAGAAAAGGAAGAATGACCTTGCTTATTTGCATTAGCTGTACATAAGTCACGTGATCTCTGAGGTCACCTACATTGTTTGTTTATAAAAGGTATACATAAGTCACGTGATCAATGAAGTCATCGGAATGTATCTCATTAATTATTAAGAAACTCTGCAATTTGAGAGCGAGCATTGGCAACACTTTTCGAAATACAGCAGATTTTTATCTCCGGCGTGCAAGACTGTTGCCACTAGCAAAAATGAGGACGAAAATTAGCGTTTTTAATTAATATCTCGGCTGATTAAAATCGTAAGAAAATGTGAATGGTTAAAATGGCGAAACGCTATTGAAAAACTGATTTCATTCATGTACAATTTTTTTTCAGATGTACATGGAAATGATTTCATTCATATTGAAATGTGTTTATACAATTTTTTTCAGGTGTACATAGAACCTATAATTTTTTCTTTTCAGATACAAATACATTTTGCACTCATTGCACGCATTTTTTCACACACACTCTCTCTCTCTCACACATATATATATATATATGCAGTATCTTATGGATGCATAATAAATTTTGAATAAAGCGGGCTCGGTCCGCTAGTAGTCAAATGAGCTAGCGAATATCTTCCTTAAGCACACTCATGCATGTAGCATGACGTAAGGTTTGATAAGTAAGTCGCTCCCAAAATGAACACTATATTCATTTTTAATTATTATCAAACTCATACTTAACTCAGTATAAATTATAACTTAGTTAAAACTCCTAGTATCTTATTCTAATAATTTCATCACTAATTTAAGCTATGTTTTATAGTCAAACTTAAAAAAAAAAAAAAAAAAATCTGAAATGTTTCAGATTTTAAATTACGTCCAAAGAAGCGTTTTTTAACATTTTGTGTTTTACCTTTCTTTATTAAATATCATGTTCCTCGCACTTAAACCATAAGATCCAGTGCAACAGCAATATCGCAAAATAGTTTTAAAACGAGCATATCTTTAGAATTTCCGATGTAGAGACTCACGCGCTGGAGATAAAAATGTTTTTTCTGCACAACGTTTTTGCCATTGCTCGCTTTGAAATCCTTGAGTTTGTTAATCAAAAATTCGTCAAAGTTTTTAAAAAATAGGAAATCGATCATAAAACAAATTTCAAATTTCAAATTTGGTCTTCCAACATGCTCATATTCGTTGGAGGATTACGTTATTCAAAATTCGATGACTCTATGTACCGTTGTCTTATCACAATACGAGAAATATACATACATTTATGCAGATTTTTCATTATTTAATTTCTTCAAATATAATGCAGGACTCTAACATTTTGTGGCAACAGTTTGAAAAGTGAACCGACATTTATGAGTCTGACGCAAAATGCCAAAACGAAACTAATAGTCCTTCGGGATTCAAATCGGGACTAAAAAAAAAAAAAAAAAAAAAAAAATGCAAATAAGAGACAAAGGCTATAACATCTTAACGTATAGACACGATGGTCACTTCGC